TTTAGACGATGTAAACACAAAGGGCAGCAAATTAAAGATTAACCTCTCTGCTTTACTCTGAAAGAAACAGTTTGTTTCTACCCCTTACCGTTCTTGAGCTATTCGCCATAGAACAAAGCATACTTTCACCCACAACACCTGGTCTGAGCAAGAAAACAGAAAACGAGCTGTATGTAAACGGGAACATATCAAGCAGAAAAGTGACTGAGTGAGTGCATGTGTGTCTGTGTGCGTGAGTGAGTGAGTGCGTGTGTGTGTTCGTTAGTGTGTGTATGAGTGAGTTTATCTGCTTTTTCAGTCCTCTCAGTAGTTCAGCTTTGAGTTGTAGAGGTTGAAACACGGTGTGCAACGGAACACGACACGCTGTGTACCATTTGTAGTTCTCCCTCCGTGAAGAAGAGCTCCAGAAAGTCTGGATCAGATGAATCCAGCTCCAGAAAGTCTGGATCAGATGAATCCAGCTTCGCAGCCTCTGTCCGCAGTCTGAGGTCCAGGAGCTCCTGTGAAGGGCAACTGACTCGGCTCCCACTCATCCTCCTGTCAGCCATCTTCCCCAGAGCTTCTGGGTGACGAACGTGCTGGAAATTGGATACACACAATAACTATATTATACAGTGAATTTGTTACAATAAATCAATTCATAAAATACAATGAAGGCCTTCCTCCCACATTATAGACTGACTACTTTTGGACCAAACACAGTAGTATTATATTATACTATATTATTATTATTATTATATTATATTGCCATGGGATGCACAAGAATAGAAATAGTAGTCCTTTTACCTTTTTTGTGCACAGCAACTGCCTCTTGATGCACCACCTGTAAATAATATAAATTTGTAAATCACTATACCAGGAGAATATATACAAAAATATGTACAATGGTATGAGGAGGAATCATCTTTTGTTGGGTTTGGGTTTGCTCTGCCTCCCCCCTCCCTTTCTGTTTGTTTCAGGGCATGTGTGTGACTGGGGGCGTGGCTGGCTCTGCAGCAGGTGTGTGGGCTCACACACCTGTTCCTCATCAGCTCTGCATAAAGCTCTGGTGCAGACATCACTTCTCTGCCAGGGAGGGGAGACGGAGCAGGCAGAGCAGACCCACAGCTCCTCCATCGTCGGAGAGGAGTTCTGGGAGTAGAGAGAAGGATCTATTGCTTTGTGGCATTCTGTTTGAATGGCCTCCTCCTCGGGAGGTGGTATTAGTAGCGGTAGTTTTGAAGGGAATAGGACTAGGATAGTGGCCAAAAAGCGTGATAGATCTAATTCCTCAACCGGGAAAGAGGGAAACCAGGAAGTGAAAATGTCTAAACTTACGGAAGAATATAAAGTTGTGATTAAAATTAGAGATCAAACTGCGGACGGTTTCAGAGGGGTAAACCCTATAAGAGTTGCCGAGTCATTAAAAACTTTCGGTGAGGGCCTGGATGCTCGTGTCCTGTCAAACGGGGCGCTTCTCGTGTTTTGCAAGAGTAAGGAACAAGCAAATAAATTGAGCAAAGTCGGGAAGATTGCTGGCAAAAAAGTAATTGCCTCGATCAGTGAAAACAGAGAAATGGTGCAAGGTATAATCTATGGCGTTTGCGCTGAAATTTCGGAGTTGGAAATCAAGGATAATCTCAGGGGCGGGAGTGTTAGTGAGAGTAAGCGATTTAAGGCCCGTGAAGGTGGGAACCCCAATGCCCCTGTCTTGATCTCATTCTGTGGGACTCTTTTGCCAGAGCGAGTATTTATAGGGTGTTTGTCTTTTCCAGTTAAAGTATATCAGAGACCCCCAATGCGATGCTTCAAGTGCCAGCGCTTTGGACACATGGCTGCTTCATGTAAAGGGAGCAGTCGGTGTGGAAAGTGTGGAGAAGGACATGATATTGAGGAGTGCACAGTAGACTCCCCTATATGCTGCAACTGTGGTGGCTGTCATATGGCATCCATCCATCCATCCATTTTCTACCCTTTAATCCATTTCTGGGTCAGGGGGGTGGCAGTCAGAGATGCCACCCAAGTCTCATAGCACCAATGGCAATGGCAATCATATGGCATCTTCAAAGGAATGTCAGGTGTATGCAAAAGCAAAGCAAGTACAGGTGGTGAAGGAGCAACACAAACTCTCCTATGCAGAGGCTCTAAAGAGGGTAGAGGGGAAATCTTCTCGGGAGACTCTTCCCCTGAGTGGATTAGTGGGAGCTCAAGAGTCAGGAAATAGGATTCTTTCTTCAAATCAGGAGTTGATTACTGTCAGTAAGGAGTCTCTCCTTGCTTTTATTGTAGATGTTGTTCATGGGACTCGAAGTAAGTTTTCAAGATCTGATTTGATTAAGTGTGTTGTTGAGTCTGCTGCCAGATTCTTGGGCTTTAAGGACTTTGCTCCCCAATCACTGTTCAATTTTATGAAGGAGGGTCTCGAGCCGCCAGTGATGTCTAGCCAGTCTTCTGGAGGAGATTGGGCAGACAGTGAAGGAGGGGAAGGGGCTAGTGCCATGGACGAGGGTGTTCTCATAAACATTTTTGCCAATTCCTAATGGTCTGCATTCTGCAATGGAATGCCAGGAGTCTTATTGCGAATGGTCAAGAGTTTAAGAAGTTTGTAAGGGATTTTGGTGTTAAGCCTGATGTGTTGTGCGTGCAGGAAACTTGGCTGAAGCCGTGTCTTGATTTTTTAATTCCAGGTTATGACTGCTTGCGTGAGGATCGAGGTGAAAGGAGTGGGGGTGGGTGTGCCACATTTGTTAAGGTAGGGATTCAGTACAGGCGGTGTGAATGTGATGTCTCTCTGGAATGTTTAATCACAGAGGTGTGGAGCACTGGGGGGAAAGTGTTTATAGTAAATTGTTATAACCCGTGCAAACCATTAGCCTTGACAGAGCTTGAACGGATTGCGGGCTGTACTGGTTCCTCAGTTGTCTGGGTGGGGGATTTTAATGCCCATAACCCTTTGTGGGGAAGCCAGGAAAGGGATGTGAACGGTTTGGTAATCGAGGAGCTTCTGGATAGAGAGAATCGTATAATGTTGAATAAAGGTTCCCCTACACGGATCGATATTCACACAAATAAGACAGCTTGCCTTGATCTCACCTTTACGTGTCTGGCATTAGCCAGGATACCTGAATGGAGAGTTCTGGATTATTCGTTAGGTAGTGATCATTTTCCAGTAGTGACTACCTTTGACAAAACTCTAGTGATAGAGAAGTTGGACAGACCACTCAGATTAGACTTCACTCGGGCAGACTGGGGCAGGTTTAGGGAGGGCACCAATGCAGGGTTGGGTGAAGTGAATAGTGATGGATCAATAGATGAAATGAGTGATTCACTGTCAGCTCTGATTATGAGGGTAGCTCTAGAAACAATCCCATATAAAAAGCCGCCTGGTGATAGAATTATTGTTCCATGGTGGAATAAGGAATGTAGTAATGCAGTGAGAAATAGAAATGCATCTTTTAAAAGGCTAAGGAAATATCCTACTCAGGAAAATCATAAAAGAGGCAAAGAAGTGTTGGAGAGCTTTCTGCTGTACTTTAGGGCCTAAAACCCCTGTAAAGCAAGTTTGGTCAAGGATTCATAGGATGGTGGGTAAAGTGGTTAACACCTCTGTTCCAGTGTTAAAAAATGATGGTATTGAGGCCGCTTTTAGTAAAGAGAAGGCTGATATGTGTGTGAGGGTGTTTCAAGAAGTGCATAATTCAAAGTTTTTAGGGGAAAAGAGTCTTAGAATTAGAAAAGAAGTTCTGCAAGAGCATAGTTGGAAGTTAACAGGGGCTGAGGATAATAGCAGCTCATTTAATGTTTATTTTTCTTTTAAGGAGCTGAAGGATGCTATAGAGGCTGGAGCAAACACCACGCCAGGTCAGGATCAGATGAGTTACTCTTTTCTGCAGCATTTGGATGACCCAGTGCTAGAAGAGATCCTTGTTCTGTTTAATTACATTTGGGAGGCTAGTTCAATTCCAAGGGCTTGGAAACATGCACTGGTGATTCCTATTTTGAAACCAGCAAAGGATCCGTCTTCCCCATTGTCTTACAGACCTATAGCTTTAACTGCAGTGCTTTGTAAGGTGATGGAGAGGATGGTTACAAATAGACTGGTATACTTTTTAGAGGGTAATGATTTTTTTGTGAATTATCAAAGTGGGTTTAGAATTGGCAGGAATACTATGGACTCGGTTGCGGTGTTAGATAGAGATATTCGGAGAGCAATAATTAATAAGGAAGCTGTGGTGGCGGTGTTCCTTGATATTGAGAAAGCCTATGACAGCATGTGGCGGGAGGGTTTGCTTTTTAAACTCTTTGATGCTGGAATTAGGGGTAGAATGTTCCTTTGGATTAAGAATTTTCTTAATGAGCGAATAATTCAGGTGAGGATAGGTAATGAAATCTCAGACAGCAAGTATTTTGAATGGCACGCCTCAAGGCTCAGTAATTAGTCCTGTGTTATTTAATGTAATGATAAATGTTATTTTTAAAAGTGTTAGTGCAGGGTTCGGAAAATCTCTTTTTGTGGACGATGGAGCCATTTGGCACAAAGGCAAAAATATAGAATTTTTAATTAGGAAAACACAGAGGGTCTTAGGTCAAATAGAACACTGGGCAAACACATGGGGTTTTAGGATTTCCATATCAAAAAGTAACTATATGATTTTTGGTCTTAACTCTTTCAGTGCCAATGACGCATATTACGTCAATTCAAGATCTGTGGTTGTGTGCCATTGACGCATTTTATGCAATTGACGTGTTTTGGTGTATTCAGATCCAGACGCATCCATTCTATCATATATCTCTGATCGGGACTGTTTGACAGTATTTTATTTGGCCAGCAGATGTCAGTAGCCTCCTTTAGCTCTTCGATCAGGCATAAAAGGAACCGGAAGCCCAGATCTCATTGTGGGAGTAGGTTGGTTAGAGTGAGAACACGAGAGCAATCGGGAGAGCGAATATGAGCAGAAAGCGGCAGCTAACGATGGAGGAGGCGTTTGGTGCTGGTGGTACCATCAGAAGGTCGGTGGGTGATGGCCATGAGGAAGGTGGAGGTGATCTGCCTCGGCCTTCAGTTGGCAAAAAGCCTGAGGCTACGGCTAAAGCTACTGCTAAGCATCTGGCCGTTGGCGGGAGTCCTTGCCGCGCACGTCGCTCCAGAGCCGCCGCACGCAGTTCCAGTGGTCCACGTCGGTCCAGAGAAAGTTCCTCGTCGGATACAGGCTCTTCAGAGCTATGGGAACCTGAAGCTGACCCAAACAGCAGTGACTCATCCCCCGATTCCCCCAGAGCAACCGGCAGAGCAGGTAATGCATACATTATACATATGTATTTAGCAATGAAATAAAAGTATTCTTGTATAATTCTCATGATTGTATTTGTGTGTATTTCTAGTAAGCAGAGTGCAGGGCCAATCCAGGAGTACTAATGCTGGTAAAAGGAGGCCTACAGGTAAATAAAATACTCATATATGTATGTATATATGCATGTGTGTGTATATGTATGTGTATAATATGTATGTAGTGTGTAGTGTGTGTGTGTGTGTGTCTCTGTGCGTGTGTCTCTGTGCATGTGTGTCTGTGTGTCTTTGGATATGTGCGTCTGTAGATGTATATGTATTTGGATATGTGTGTATATGGATAGATGAGTTATTGTACAATTCTATACAGGCGCTACATTGAGCAGAGGCGCTGCCAGCGTGAGTCCTGCAAATACAGGTGTGAAGAAAAGAGGTAGGAATATCTTTCTCTACATCACATCAAATCAATAAAACGAGCTATTTGATTCCTATTTATTGTATACATTTCCATAATTTATTACAGTTGCAAAGGGTAAAGGCGGCACCTGGCGGAAATCCGGATGGAAACCCACTGTGTTCCCCTTCACTGCAACGCCTGGTCCCCTGAACGCGGCAGCAGAGCTGGAGTCCACCTCGCCTGCTGACTTCCTGGAGCTGTTCCTCACGGACGAGCTGCTCCAGCACATCACAGAGCAGACCAACCTCTATGCTCAGCAGCATTTCCTGGCAAACCCAGAGATTCCGCAACACAGCAGAAAGCATGCATGGGAGACCAGTGACCATTCCAGAGCTAAAAAAGTTCTTTGCATTGTCTTTCCTCACTGGTGTTATCCACAAGCCAACCCTGGCAATGTATTGGAACGTGGATGAGATGTTTGTGACCCCGTTCTTCACTAAAATAATGTCCAGGAACCGGTTCCAACTCATATGGAGGTTCCTCCATTACAATGACAACTCTGCAATTGATGTAACTGACAGGTTATACAAGGTTCGCCCCGTCTACGACTACCTGATCAATAAATTCAAGGTAATGTTCCAACCCGGGCAGAATATTTGCATAGATGAGGGGATGTTGCTCTGGAGAGGACGGCTGGCCTTCAAGGTCTACAACCCACAGAAGCCCATAAAGTATGGAATAAAGTCCTATGTGCTCTGCGACTCTGCCACCGGCTACTGCTTTAACCTGCAGCCCTATGTTGGTGAGCCCCGCACGATCCCTGACATTGTTTTTTCTCTCCTTGACCGTCTCCCAGGTGCCGGCCACACTCTGTTTATGGACAACTATTACAATTCTGTGGCATTGTCTGAGCAGTTGATGGCAGTAAAAACAAATGTGTGTGGGACGCTAAGGAAGAACCGGGGAGAGCCTGAGAGCATTAGGGACGTGACCAAGACTGAGCTGAGTGTGGGGGGGAGAGTCGCGGTGAACAATGGGAAGGTCATGGTTGTGGCGTGGCGGGACAAACGGATTGTCAAGATGTTGACAACATGTCACCATGACAATATGACTAGTGTCGACGTTTGGCAGCGAGGACAGAGGGAGAAGGTGTCTGTCCTAAAACCGGAGTGTGTCGATGTCTATAACTCCTCCATGAATGGCGTGGATCGATTGGATCAGAACATTAAATACTACCCGTTCGTCCGGAAGTCTCTGAACTGGACCAAAAAATTTGTAGCTTACCTGTTCCAAATCGCAATGTACAATGCCTACACTCTCTACAGAGCCAGGAACGGGAACCGGGAATACAAAACCCTCTTGGAATTTATGCAGGGGGTCATGAGGTCCTGGACATTGAAGGTCCAGGATGAGGACGAGGAGGACATCGAGGACGAGGAGGATGAGGAGGACATCGAGGACGAGGAGGACGAGGAGGACATCGAGGACATTGAGGACAAGGAGGACGAGGAGGACCACAACGAGGAGAACGAGTCGATCGTTGCATGTGTGGAGGAAGGAGCACCACGAAACCCCAGGGCTCCATATAACACTGATCCAGAGAGCAGGCTCGATGAGGGAGCCAGGCACAAAGTGGAGTACCTGCTGTCCTCCGGCTCGAAGACCAGACCCTCGAGGAGATGCAGGGTCTGCATGCGCAAAGGCCTGCGCAGTGAGACCAGGATGTGGTGCAAGGCATGTGGTGTCCCCTTACACAAAGGAGAGTGCTTCACAAAATATCATACACAACAAGATTACACTATATAGACAGAGACACACGCACGCACACATGCACGCACACATGCATGCACACACGCACGCACACACGGACGCACACACGCACACTCTCAGCCAATCAGCACTTTATGTATATAGTTATTTGTTTGTAATTTATGTTTGTACATTTCTTATTCTGTGTTCTGAGTATTATTCTGTGTTCTGAGTATTATTTTGCTATCAAAAGCACTTTATTTTGAGTCATTTCCCTTATTTTATACATGGGAAGAATGTTCTGTTGTGTGAGAAATGACTAAAGTAAAAAAAAACTTTTCAAAGTCACTTTTCTGCATTGTTTGCTTATTTTCACAAACACCTCATTTTCTCAGCTTTATGTCGGAAACTGATGATTTCTGTGAAACGTTTACCTTACTCCAATGGTGATTACAGAAGAACTAAAGCCGATAGAAACATACTTATTTTTTCTGAGTAAACTAGAGGGTCCAATCTTTCAGAATATGGTCTCAGATTTAAGCTAGTCATAGCAGAACATATTCTATGGGTCTTTAAAAGTCGGTGAAAATCAGCAAAACGGCTGGCACTGGAGGAGTGATGTTCTGAAAATGTCTGGCACTGAAAGAGTTAAAAAGAAAGTTCCTAATCTGAATTTGCAATTATATGGGCAACAATTAGTGAAAGTTAACGTGTTCAGATTCCTTAGTATGTGGCTGGATGAAAAGCTAACTTGGAAAATGCACGTTGATAAAACTATTTGTAAATGTGAGAAGGTACTTAATGTTCTGCGCAGTTTGGCTGGCAGTGATTGGGGAGCAGACAGGTCAATGCTGCATATGATTTATAGGGCAATGTTAAGGTCAATATTGGATTATGGCTGTTTTGTATTTGGTGGAGCGGCAAAAACAGTCTTAAGGAAATTGGATGTGGTACAGGCGAAAGCCCTTAGAGTCTGCAGTGGAGCCTTTGCAACTACTTCTATTCCTGCTCTATTAGTTGAGATAGGGGAGACTCCTCTGAATCTTAGGAGGCAAAAATTGGGTCTCCAGTATTGGGTTAGACTAGCTGGTTTCAAGCTCAACTCAGCAGCTAAGTGCCTCCTTGAAGACTGTTGGGAGTTTGAAAAGAGGGAAGATAAAGCCACATTCTTAAGATCCGTCTGTCAGATGGCTAGCAATGTGGGTTTGGAAAATGGAAGTGTGGTTGGACTAGGGTGGTCCCCAGCTCCATTCTGGCTTTTACCAGAGCCTGAAGTCTGGCTGGATCTGGTGGGAATGGACAAGAGCCGAGCTAGTGCCCAAATAAATGATTTTGTGGAGTTTAAAAAGGATCAGTTGTATCATGTTTTTACAGATGGGTCAAAGGACCCGGGCTCGGGAAAGGCCGGTTTTGGAGTTTACGTGATAAATAATGAAATTAGTAAGAGTATGCGTGTGTCAGATCAAGTATCTGAGTTCACAACTGAGTTGCTAGCCATCTGGTGGGCTCTTGATTGCGTAGAGAGGAATAATTTTGAATCCTCTTATGTTTACTCAGATTCAATGTCTGCTTTACAGGCTATATCTGCTGGCCTGTCTGGGGCCCGAGCCGATATAATCTTGGAGATTTTGTGTTGCCTCCGTCGGCTTGAAGCAAGGGGATCTAGTGTAGTATTTTGCTGGATCCCATCTCATTCAGGTATAGTTGGGAATGAGAGAGCTGATACACTGGCTAAGCAGTCTCTTTGGTGTGAGGAAATAGAGTATAAAATCTGTTTGAGTTAGAGTGTATAAGTATCATAAAAAGTTTTGTGCAAAAACAGTGGCAAAAAGTGTGGGAGAAAGAGAAAAGGGGGAGGCATTATTTTAATTCTCAGCCTCTGGTGCAAAATATTAGGCCTGTGTTGATATCTAGCCGGGCAAATCAAGTAAAGATTGTTAGATTGAGGCTGGGGCATTGCCCTGGTGTTATTTTTTTGCTTATGGGTTTTTTGTGTCCTGTGTTCAGGTCTCCCTTTTTCCGGACCAGCCAGCCAGCTCCATGTCACCACTGCCTGTCTTGTGTTTTTGTTATTTACTTTTTGTAAGTAAAAGACTTTCCTTGAATCGTGCTCAGTCTGTCTCTGCTTTGGGGTCCAACACGCAACCCGTAACAGAATAATCTGGCCAAAATGGACCCCGCAGAGGCACAACAATTCAGACTGGCTCTTGACTCTCATGGTTTGAGAGTTGTACAACAAGAGCGAGCACGTGAGGAGATCATGGACTCTATTTCAAGACTTTCTACGAGCGTTACAGAACTTTACAATCAGATTGGACATGTTGCTTCACATCTGGAATCAATCACCACACCTGCCCCATCTCCAGCTTCTGCTTCTTCTTAAGGTATTCAGGAGAGATAGGGACATGCAGTCAGTTCCTCCATAAGTGCACACTTGTTTTTGAACAACCGTTAACGTATTCCACTGACAGAGCTAGAGTAGCTTTTATAATGAGCCTGCTAACTGGTAAGGCTTCTGCCTGGGCTATGGCTTTAGTTAACAGTGACTCTGTGTCATGTCAGTCCCTTCGCTCCTTTACCAGATGAGATGCGCAGAGTTTTTGAACACCCACTACAGGGTAAAGAGGCGAGTAGCCGTCTCCTTTCTCTGCGCCAGGGTTCAGGTTCTGTGTCTACGTTCTCTATAGATTTTTGCATCTTAGCAGCACAATGTGGTTGGGATCAGAGGGCCCTTCAGGGGGTCTTTCTTAGGGGTTTAAGTGAGGAGGTTAAGGATGAACTGGCAGCCCGTGATGAAACTAACTCTTGAGAGGATTTAATTTCATTAGCCATCAGATTGGATGACAGACTGCGAGAGAGGCGTAGGGAGAGAGCAGGCAGATTGAGTGCTCCATTCCCCAACACAGGGTCCGCTCTACAGGCTGGTCCAGCTGCTCCTCATCCTATGGAGTCGTTCTCTGCTGGTCCTGTTTCCAGTTCTGTTCCAGTCATCACGGAGGTGCCCAAGCCACTGAGCAGGAAGAGATCTACTCCAGAGAAGAGGCGTTGCTTTAATCAACGCTGCACGTATTGCGCCCAAACGGGACACGTTCGGGTTAGATGTCCAGCTCTGCCACAGGAGGGGGTCCTGGTGAGCCACACCCCTGCTGATCCTTGCACCAAGCATATTCAGCTACGAGGTACTGTCACGCTTAACAAGGATTCCTTTGCACTCCTGGCCTTAGTCGATTCGGGGGCTGATGACAATTTCATCGACTATGGATTTGTTTCCCAGTGTAAGATACCAACCGAGCCTCTTCCCAGCCCCAAGACTGTTTTTGCGCTAGATGGTAGGCCTCTTGCCACTGTGACTGATCGCACTGTTCCAGTGTCCCTCCTCCTGTCTGGAAACATCATGAGACTATTACTCTGAACGTGATTAACTCTCCTTCTACTCCTGTAGTTTTAGGCCTCCCATGGTTAAAGCTACATAACCCACATATAGATTGGTCTAAATTTTCTATTGTAAATTGGAGTTTATTTTGCCACACGCACTGTCTCCATTCATCCATCCCCTCCATCAAGACGTGCACTGAAGGTCCCAGGCCCATTGACCTTTCGTCTGTTCCCAGTGAATACCATGACCTCCAGGAGGTTTTTTCCAAGGACAGGGCTTCGTCCTTGCCGCCACACAGGCCCTATGACTGCAGCATAGACCTTGTTCCAGGTGCCCCTTTACCCACCAGGAAGCTGTATAACCTGTCTAAGCCTGAGAGAGAGGCCATGGAGACATACATTACTGAATCGTTAGCGGCAGGACTGATTCGACCCTCTTCCTCACCTGTTGGGGCGGGTTTCTTTTTTGTAGACAAGAAGGACAAGTCACTCTGCCCGTGTATTGACTTTAGGGGTCTTAATGACATTACAGTGAAAAACAAGTACCCTCTCCCACTTTTGGACTCAGCCTCTTGCTCCCTGCATGAGGCTTCGATTTTCACTAAGCTGGACCTTCGCAATGCATATCATTTAGTCAGGATTAAAGAGGGTGATGAATGGAAGACAGCCTTTAATACCCCCTTGGGACATTTTGAGTATTTAGTTATGCCTTTTGGATTAACAAATGCCCCAGCGGTTTTCCAAGCTCTGGTTAATGATGTTTTACGAGATATGTTAAACCGATTTGTTTTTGTTTATATTTATGACATTTTGATTTTTTCCCGCACTCCAGAGGAACATGTTCAGCATGTCAGACTAGTTCTTCAGCGTCTTCTCGAAAACCGACTATATGTTAAAGCCGAGAAGTGCGATTTTCATGCAGAAACAGTTCATTTCCTTGGTTTTGTCATTGAGAAGGGACAGATCAGGTCTGATCCTGCCAAGGTTAAGGCAGTAACTGACTGGCCCACTCCTACTAGCCGTAAACTCCTCCAAAGGTTTTTGGGTTTCGCTAATTTTTATAGGAGGTTTATTCGGGATTATAGTAAAGTCGCTGCACCTCTGACTAGGCTTACCTCTGCTAAGGTCCCCTTTGTTTGGTCAGCTGAGGCGGAGGCATCTTTTGTTCGTTTGAAAAGTCTTTTTTGTTCTGCACCTGTTCTCTCCCACCCTGATTCCACAGGTTGATTCCATCAACCTCGTCGTCGAGGTTGATGCGTCTGATTCTGGCTTCGGCGCAGTTCTCTCCCAGCGTTCCACTTCAGACCACAAGCTCCACCCCTGTGCCTTCTTTTCCCGTCAGCTTAGCCCTGCGGAAAGGAACTATGATGTGGGCAACCGGGAACTGCTCGCGGTGGTCCTCGCTCTGAGGGAATGGAGACACTGGCTGGAGGGCTCAGCTCAGCCTTTTGTTGTATGGACTGACCATAAGAACCTGTCCTACCTTCGTTCTTCCCGCAGGTTGAACTCCCGCCAGGCACGATGGGCACTTTTTCTGGGAAGGTTTAACTTCACCCTTACCTACCGTCCAGGTTCCAGGAACACGAAGCCTGATGTTCTCTCGTGCAGGTTTTCCACTCCCTTTGAGGGTAAGGGTGAGGAAACCATCTTACCCAATTGTGTGGTCGGGCTGCCAGTTGGGATTGAAAGTTGTTCAGGAGGCCCAGGTCGGTCATCCCACGCCTGAGGCTTGTCCTCCTGGGCTGCTGTTTGTTCCCCCCTCCGCTCGGTCCAGTGTGCTTCAGTGGGGCCATGACTCGAGGTTGACCTGCCACCCTGGATTTCACCGCACTCTGGCCCTTGTTCGTCAGCGCTTCTGGTGGCCGTCCATTTCCTCTGATGCCAAGGAATATGTTTCTGTCTGCTCTGTTTGTGCCCGCAGCAAGGCGTCTCACAGATCTCCAGCTGGCTTGCTCCGCCCACTACCCATTCCTCATCGTCCTTGGTCCCATATAGCGGTGGATTTTGTTACCGGCCTGCCGCCGGCGTAACACCACCATTCTGTCTGTGGTTGACAGATTTTCTAAATGTGTACATTTCATCCCGTTGCCTAAACTTCCTTCTGCTCTTGAGACAGCCAACTTGCTTGTCCAGCATGTCTTCCGGTTGCATGGAATACCCCAGGACACTGTTTCCGATCGAGGCCCCCAGTTTGCTTCTCGGGTTTGGAAGGCTTTTTGTAGGGCCTTGGGAGCATCTGCAAGCCTGTCCTCTGGATACCATCCGCAGACTAATGGCCAGACGGAGCGTGCAAATCAGGACCTTGAGGCGGCTATGCGTTGTGTCACGGCACGTTTCCCAGCTTCCTGGTCGACTCACCTTCCGTGGATCGAATACTCCCACAACTCATTGGTCTCGTCTGCTACGGGTATGTCTCCATTCATGGCCGCTAATGGTTTTCAGCCCCCCGTTTTTCCATCCCAGGAAACAATGGTGACTGTTCCGTCGGTGCAGCACCATCTGCGCAGAGCCAGGCAGGTGTGGGTCGAGGTCAGGGCCGCTCTGTCTCGGACTGCAGCTCGGAACCGGAGTGTTGCTGACCGCCGGCGTTCTGCAGCCCCGGACTACAAGCCTGGTGAGAAGGTGTGGCTTTCGACCAGGGATCTGCCCCTCCAGGTTGAGTCCCGTAAGCTGGCCCCGAGATATGTTGGTCCTTACGAGATCGACAGAGTTATTAATCCTGCGGTGGTGAGGCTGAAGTTGCCCCCGTCTTTAAATGTTCACCCTGCTTTTCACGTTTCGTTGCTCAAGCCGGTGGCCTCGAGTCCCTTCAGCCCTCCGGCCGAGCCCCCTCCTCCCCCCGGATCGTTGATGGTGGTCCTGCCTTCTCTGTCCGGCGCGTGTTGGATGTGCGCCGTCGTGGGCGGGGTTTCCAATATTTGGTGGATTGGGAGGGGTATGGCCCGGAGGACCGTTCCTGGGTGTCGCGCTCCATGATCCTGGACCCTGCTCTGCTGGCTGATTTCTACGCCTTGCATCCTGGCCGGTCTGGGAGGACGCCGGGTGGCGTCCGTTGAGGGGGGGGTACTGTTGGGTTTGGGTTTGCTCTGCCTCCCCCCTCCCTTTCTGTTTGTTTCAGGGCATGTGTGTGACTGGGGGCGTGGCTGGCTCTGCAGCAGGTGTGTGGGCTCACACACCTGTTCCTCATCAGCTCTGCATAAAGCTCTGGTGCAGACATCACTTCTCTACCAGATTATTCAATGTCTCAAGTCAGTGTGCAGCAGCAGTGTGAGTTTTTGCCCTGGTGTTATTTTTTGCTTATGGGTTTTTTGTGTCCTGTGTTCAGGTCTCCCTTTTTCCAGACCAGCCAGCCAGCTCCATGTCACCACTGCCTGTCTTGTGTTTTTGTTATTTACTTTTGTAAGTAAAAGACTTTCCTTGAATCGTGCTCAGTCTGTCTCTGCTTTGGGGTCCAACACGCAACCCGTATCATCTTTACCTCCATGCCCTGTCAACCCCAATGGGGGAGGGCTTTTATCAGAATCTGTGAATGAACACATTTCATTTAGTCAGAGCTATGTCACTGCAACAAGATGTTAAAGTATGAAATAACTAAACATAAAAATAATAAATACAACAATGATAAAACGCATAACTGGCATTTACTAAAGAAACAGTAGGATTTGAGCTCTGTGTTACTTAGCAGATCAGAGCAAGTTTCCGCGCCTTTCCCTCCTCTCAAGTTAGCATATTCTAGGCAATTTAGCAAGTTCTTACCTTCGACTCTTTGTGGAGCTTCTGGAGAGGATGCTCTGCTGGATTGAGACTGCAACCACTCATCCGATAAATCATGATCAGGTTCTCTGAACGAATCCGAGGCATCAGTAACAGCAGCAGCTGATACGCTGCGAGAGGCGGAAGGTGTGTCCCTGCTCCGGGCTCTTGCTCCGCGCAAATGTGGCTGCAAAGACGGACCTCCACCGGGTTCTCCGCTCTCTCCCCTCTCGACCTCACTCACTGATCCGCGAGTCAATCTCTGAAGCAGTGTTAACTGCTTATAACTATTCTTTTTCGCCATCACTCTTACTATACTATCGCTAAACTAGATCGCTGATCCGTCTCAATGCTACGCTATCATCGCTCGCTCTGCTACAGCAGCACGCTCTCCAAACACTCCCACACTCCTCCTCCTTCTCTCCACTGACTTATGACCTCTCCTGTGGTGCAATACT